TTTCTATCGCTGCTCCACCACATTTCATAGCTCTTCATCGTCTTTGTCAACTAATGATTTGGGAAAAAGACTCACTTCGATTAAATCCACACATTTTATTCATCTAATCAAGCTGTCAGTCTGGTGTGAGCCGTGACCAAAAGGTACTGGTTATATGACACGTAAGAGAAAGAGATTTTACCCAGGTACTTCTACCAGTACTTTTTTGAAACCTTTCCAAATTTTGTATAGCCTAAAATGTCTTTTATGATCTTTTTCTTGATGTCAGTTTTCCGTATTCGGGTAGATTACTGTATTTTCCATTGCGATTGTCGGATTCTTGGAAGTCCCGCTCTTTGATTGTCAACGTTTTTTCCTGCTCATTGAAAATGTTAATGTTCTGAGCCTTTCAGATGTTCAATGTCTTGGCGTGAACAATCGCCTCGAGAATTCGATCCACATGGAGGCCGAAACGCTTTTCGCAACGACGACACTCTGCAGTCTACTTCTGGTAAGTGAATCCCAGGCTCTCGCCTTTAAGACGCCAATTTCCACTTCCGTGTTAGCTTTCGAGGTCGCTGTCTTTCTGGCGAAGTATTAAATTTTCATGTTTCTTTTTGGGTGGCATTTCGAGCGGCTGCGTGAGAACTGGTGAATTGGCTCAGGTAGTGATGAAGTGCAATGACCTAGCGGAGGCCCTCAACCCATTGTGGAATTTCTTATGTAGTTTTTCCTAGAATCTCTCAAGCGTTTTCATTCTGTCTACACTACCTTCCTGCTGATGGTCTCTCTCATGAAAGTGGCCTCGATTGAAGTACCACTAGGATCAAATTGGTGTGGCTGGCACACGAAAATGAAAAGATAGGTGCGAAACAGTCGGGCTGTAAGGAAAATTAGGTGAGAGAATCTTGTGAAAACGCCAAATTTGAAGAGTTAGTCTGTTATTAGGTTAAGCTGTGCTAATGGTAATGCAAAGAATGTGCACGGCGAAGAGAGTGTAGGGGAGACAACAAAACTTATGAGAGAGCGTAGACCCCAGCGTGGAGCGGCTGAAGCGGTGTTTGCAAAGCCCCAGCGCACTTACAGTACATTTGACAGCCGGCGGAACGGGGGACCATCATCATCAAGCTTCATCCTACCCATTAAAGGATTCATCTACCTGGCTCCTCTTCAGTAGTGCGTGTGAAAAATCGATGTCACATGTGCTCTTCGATGTTTTGACCTGTTGATGTGTTAATGTCTATACCACGTGATGTCAAATGCCCCTTTCGCAATTACGACCCCCATGCAAACGGAAAGCCGCGGTATTCTCTTATTTAGCACTTAGGGCAACAACCCCATATGAGGTCGTGCCAAAAAATCTACCTGTGGATAGTATAGAATAGCCCTTGCATATCACACATGTGCTGCTGTCGCGACTCCAAGGGCACGAGAGTGGAGCTAGAGGCTTACAGAGTGATCTGATGACGACTAATGTGAACTTGTGGACGAGATACCTTGAGCACACCCCGTGAGACGCAGCGTGAATTACGACGTAGCGGTTACTCTGAATACGGGCGGGACAGTGGCAGGGTCAACCGTCACGTTCGAACATTTTCGGGATTTTTGCGACCCCCCCCACAGTTGCGACCCCCAATACAACCAGCCTTCCCCCACCGCGACCTCTCCCTCTTCTATAGTATTTGATTCTGAGACCAGTTGACACAGCCCAAAACCTACCTAAAACTCCGAAACTCCACCCACTTTTTCCCCAAAAATAGCCGTCGAGCGGGGGGGAGGGGGGTATATACAACCAGTGAAACGGCAACTTTTTTCGCACGCACCTATGCCCTGCGCCCCTGATGACCAAACGTAACCAGCAGAACTGCGCAATGCGACCCCTCTCCCCTCCCAGAACACAAATGCGACCCCCCGTTCGAACGGACGGTTGACCCTGGTCTGGAGCCGTGGAGCAAGCAAGTTTAGCCAGCACGGCCGGCTCCACCTCTTCATTATTTTTAAGGCAGAATTCACGATGAAAAAGCAACCCATTTCAAATTAAAGTTAGGATGGTGAGTGGTACACGAAAGAAGGAAGAACCATGAGAAACGGCCCAGAACCCGAGAAATGGGACCCCTTCCTTGCCCGTTGATTTGCGCATTGATGCGACTCTCATCGCTGTGCCCTCTTCAACACTACGCTCTCTCTGCTATCTAATCACTCGCCATATAGACGAGTGATTAGATAGTCGGTGGGCGTACCCCGCCAACCGCGCCAAGAGTGAGCCATGCTAGATCGCCGAGGTCAAATCTTTCGCTGCCAATTGTCGGCACCCTCAGGAGGTCCGCCTGTCTCCCATTAGGCAATTTCCCCTTTCTCGACCTTCGTTATTATCGTGAATCCTCTTTCAAGGAGTTAGAGAAAAGAAAATTCTTAATGGCTCCATCGATTCCCTTTGGTTCTTCTTTCATTTCCACTCAGTTCGGCATCCACAATTTCATTATCGACCGTTGTCATCCCAACAATTTGATTTGAAGTTGTTGCTTTAATGCTTTCAAATCCGAGTTGTTTGAAATTGAAAGGGTGTTAGGTTTCTTCGCTTTTGTTTGTGGTTATGGTAATGGATGGATTCCTAGGAATAGTTTTTTCTAATCAGGTAGAGGCAGAGATTCGCGTGCAGCGTTTTTGGCCAAACTCCGTTCTCTAACGAACGTCACATGAGCCTCAGTCAATACTTCTGCGCCAGAGAATGGCTCCACATCGTGTACCGGAAGCCGACCAATTTTTCTAAAACTAAAGCACTTTAAGCCATTGTAGTCAGCTGGGCCACTTGGGAATTTTCCGTTTTCAAATGGATTCTGCTGGTGCAGTCGAAGTCCATTTCTCCATTAGCATTACTGCTCAGCGTTCGCATTCAATTCTAAGGTTTCTGTAGTATCTCCTGGGATGAAAAACGCGCACAAGCCTCTTCTTCCCCGCTCTTCGTGCTGGGCCGCTCCAATAGCGTGCGCATTTTGGAACATTTATTGAATTCATGTTTTGCCGTCTTGTTTTTGACGCCCATCCGCCGAGTAGCTTCTGCCTACGCCTAGTATTTCAAAGCGTCTCTTGGGCTCCACTTCCGTACTTTTTTCACTGCCACCTATTTAACTTAACGGACTCACCAACTACTGTATGAAATTATAATTATGAGTTCTCGGTTTCAGAATATTTCATAGATTATCCCCAATAGCGCCGTTCATTTTTTTTGCTGTAAAAAACGCAATTTTCGTGCATTTGATTTTTCATGAAAATAACATCCTTACTTTACAATCGATAATTCATGTAAGAATCGCATTATCTCTCGTAAGCTTCCTAGTTTGAACTCAATGATGGAAAATCGCAAAACCTTTTGGCGAGAGAATTTGGCCTGAAGCCACTTTCCGAAGCATTTATTCTTCGAATTGATGAGGCCATATTGTTTTCATTCCTGCTTCAAAATTGTTTTTCTGTTCTAGTCGGAAGAGAAACCGGAAACGTCAATCGCTGAGTTCCATCTTAGTTCCTATCTATCAACTTCTTGTGGCTGTGAAAGCGAACAGGAATTAGACCCTTGACGCTGCTTGATGTGCCATGCAAGTCGCCGACGATCACAGTGCAATATTTTTCGTCTGACAATCTCGAAAAGGATAATGACTATGTTTTGTTGTGTTTTTATATCCTCAAGGCTTAAAAAATTAGGATGTTCGAAAGAAAAAAATTTTCGAGGTTAACATTAATTTTTTTCTGGCAAAAAAAGAGAAGCACGGAAAACAGTTTCGGCAAACACTTTTGTCCGCTACTGTAGCTACACAAATTCAAAATTTTCGTTGGAAAAAATAAACATAGCACTGACATGGAGAAAATTCCCACTAAAAATCGTATATAACAATTCTTGTATTAAAAAGCACAAATTGGCGCTGAATAATGCGTTAGTCTGATATTTGGAAACCTTGTCGGACCTGACTGCCAAAGTTTTGATATTCCTTCAAAAACAAATGAAACTGCAAAAAATCTTTGGAATAATACCGATTGTGCGTGTGCCAATCGTATGGGCGGAGTTTGCGCTATCGGAACTACACTGGACGACACCATATATTCACTTTTTTCTTTTCTTCTTTTTTTATTTTTGGTAGTGAGAAACGTCTGAAAAGCGAGACTCCATGGCGGAGGGCAAGCCCTTAAAATCTATCAAAATACTCTATGATTTTCCGGGTTGTTGACAGCTTTTCGTTTTCTCGCGTTCTTGGTGGACGTAAGTAGTTCCTGGAGTAACAGCCCGTAATTAATAAACCAAATAGCTACTCGGAAGAATCGCACTCATTCATAAAGAAAATGAGTCCGTTAACCGAACTGCTAGGATAACCCTTGCGGCTCACAGCTTGGGTAAGAACGATAGCCGTTGATTCCTGCCAGCCACGCACACCCCACGTGGCTTCGCCATCCACAGACGCGCACGCGTTCACGTCTGCGTCTCTATTGTCCCCTTTTCTCCCTCGTCTTCGAGTTTTTTCTCTCGCCTCACTGACCTTTATTTATCCCACCGTCTATGTCAAAATGTCTCGTAAAAACGAGTTGCTCTGAAATGGATGCCCTAATTTTTACATTATTTGTGATTTCTTTACCTTTAACCTTTACTTTTTTTTACACATTACAACTTCATCTATGTACTTCATTTTTGAAAAGCGATAAAACTTCCTAGCTGACAGCAGAGTCCTATTGTGTCCTACCCCATAGAGCAGAGCGATCATGCTCCTTGCGCGGTACCTAACGGATATTTCTGACGCTGAAATGCAAGCAGCAAAAATGAGCTCAACGAACGTTTTGGTAATCTTACTGGACTAGGATCCGTGACTGATCTGCTCTAACAATAATTAGACCAGTACTGATCGTCAATGTGGCTTCCACAACAGCCATAAGAAGTGACTAGAGCTCCTTCTAAATACATATATCACGGAGGCTCCGCAACTTTATCATAGTACTGCATAGAGGTCGTACTCCATTAGGACTCGCCGTTCTCGGCAATGAATTCTCCTGTGTTACCTGGGCGAACACCCAGTGAGGGTTCCGTTGATATGGGACTTGTCGCAAGCACATCATTGGGTGACCGTGGAGAGCGTGATTTCAAAATGTTGGGTGGATTATATAATAGGTAAAATATGTAAAATGGTGGACGGTATTGTTAAGGGGAAAAGGCCTTTCTTGTGGCCAGAGTTGACCTTGATTACCTGCGTTTCTGTTGGTCGTCGATACCGGACTACACGACTGTATTTCCTGAATTCACATGAAATACGGAGAGAATGGGCCTGTATAAACGCTCTGGTGTGACAGACACTTTCAAGCCGCATTGTTGTTCGCTCTGTCACATGTGAGAGTGGCCCAGTAGGCTCTTTTGCGTGATAAGCACTCAAACTCGTCGACGTCTTTCGTAAATAAGCCAACCGTCGTTACCGTCAGTTTTGCTCTTCTAGGGTTTCACTTGTCAACCACTATTAAGTCGTTAGATTTTTTGTGGGTGAAGGCTAAACGGACCAGACCAGTAAAGGGTACGCAACAGGAGGCCCGTCGCGCAGTGAGAAGGCAGAATCAGCGGACAAGTCACAGCGCGTGCTGTATCATTTCGCGTCAACTAAAAGTGTGCGCTCTACGTCGCACAGCACGCGCTGCGACTCGTCCGCTGACTCTGCCTGATTGCCGCGCGACTCCTGTCAGGTACCAAGCGCCAGAGACCAAGAAGGATTTTCATCCATATACGTTATAGATATTGAGCTTCTCTTTCATCTTTTCCCGTTATCTACGTACAGTGAATCCTTTCTTCGCACCTGTCTACAAAATGTGGAGGCATCACTACCGCTTCTTCACTAGTATCTTCATGTGTGAAGGTTCTTTACAATGTATCGCGCAAAGAAGAGGGGAGGGAGTCTCAAAAACATTCCCATCGAAGCCTTCACTCATGTTACATTAGCTCGGGTCAATATCGCGCGCTTTTTTTCGCCATACTTCCAGACTGAAAGCAATACTGTGGTGCTGAAATAACTTAGAAGGGATGGCAACTACTACACATCCGACACAGTTTTGAAAGCACGTTTTCTTTTCCAGAACGCGTCGCCTCATTTCGTGCGATGCGCTCGTTCACTGAATCAATCGAATGCGATCTACCGCCTGCTCCCGAATTGCCTGCGCAACTCGACATCGATCGCATCTCGATGAGAACCAGCGATACAAATGAAACAATCGTCGAGGTGGTAAGTATTCTCAGAGTTTTACACTATCGAAAAAGAATGAAGTAGGAATATGAAAGAAAAAAGAAAATCGAAAAGGAGTGCTACGGGGCGCGTAATCCCCGCAAAAAGACATTTAATAACTGCAAATTTGAGCGTTCACTCCTACCTTTTGCACCGCAAGGTGTCTCTTAGGCTTTGTGTATATTTTTTTTGAATTAATGAAAGTACGTCATCATTTTGCGACATAGGCGCTTTATCCTCGGAGGGAATACAACAATCCATTGTTCATTGTTGTGTTTGATAATATAATTGATTTCAACATCAGAATCACAATGATTTTTCTCAAGCTCCTTTTATACCGAGCAGTTTTTCATCAAGCATGCTTTATCATGACACCATATCAAGTATATACTATACGCAAACCATGGGCCAATAATTCAAGCAGACTATCCCGGCTACCATCTTTCAGCGTTCAGCTGAATCCTCCCTTTGTAACGCTTTTGAAAAGCAGTACTCACAGTCGTACCATGTCGTTATTTTGAACTTTTTCATAAAACTTCGATTCCGGCGGCTTGAGTGGCCTTACGGTTTGTGATATCCAACTGCGCTTACATATTCATAGCGTTCTCATGGAACATCCAGTGCTCGTCTTCTTCCATAACGTTTACCGCATAGTCCCCAGAATGTGACTGGAATTAGACGAAGTCGGCCCTGCGTCCAGATTACTGCCCTGCCGCAGCCCTTGTGGGATTCATCATGGAAAAATTGCAACTGGGAATGGCCAGATGACTAATAGCCATTGAGTGGGAAAAATCGAGCGTTTTTACAAGCTCATTAAACTTGCACTCGGTTGCATTTGCAGGAAGTCGAGCAAGTCATCACCAATCATTCTCAGGGTGCGCTTGCATAATGGGTACTGTGAGACCTAAGACTAAACCTAACTCTATATTGCAGATTACGGTAGTTGTACGTTATTTCAATAATGAGATACAGTACAGAAAGGGACGCGCGACGCCACAATTGGAAAGAGCAGGGGCGTCGTCGTCTCCATGTTCGCTGGTTTAATATAAGCTCGACTAGGCATGAGGTTTAGGGGATGATCGCTTGGGTTGCCAAATGATATCCTCCATTTCCAAGCAGCTCAACTGCAGGGAGCTGCTGCGAGGGGATCCTTGGAGGCTCCATGGGATCCATGGGTCAGGTAATCTGGGAATGTTTTAGCTTCCAGAAAAAATGGTTGTTGTGTCAAAGTCTTCTACTAGAAGAATCTGATAGAAGCTGAATGGGAAGACGATCTAGCCGCCTAGTCCAGCTCCCTCTGCTCTAGTTTACAGTGCTTTATTGGGACATATGTGACTGGATGGATGAAGCTGCAGAAGATCTCCCGAGTTACGGCTGCAGAAGTGTCGACAAGATGTTTTCGACACGCCCACTCGCCTGTGATTGGCTGATCGCGCATCGGTAATTTTACGCATGCGCGAGCCAGCCAATCACATGGGCGAGTGGGTGTGTCGCCAGCATATGCTATCGAACTCCTGCAGCTCGTGAATCCAAAAGATTCCCTCTTGCTCAATTATCCGAGATTATAAAAAGAAAGGAAAAAGAAAGAAGGGGCGTGTGGATACAAAGTCCATTTGACATGTGCAATGTGCAGGTCAAGCGCTGCTGATTCAAATCTCGCCTCAAAAACGACATGACTCCAATCCTTCGGGTGTCCGTGATTGGCTTCAGACTCGCCTGTGAGCATAAAAAGACTGATTTGCATATTGGTGGGCAACCGCAAGCCATTGTACTGACCAAATCGCATTCGAAGGCTACTATGACTTTGAATTGAAATGAATGCGCCACGCATTCCCAAAGTGAACTGATCAAATGCTCAGTTTCCGATCCACTTTCCAAGGACCAACCTAAAATCAATTCGTAGACGAATTTTCGAATAGCGCGTGTTCTGCTGCGTGCTGCTGAGTCGCGGCGGGGCCACTTCCTAAAATGCTGTTCTCCTCTTCTCTCACGGGGCCACCTTCCCTAAACCTCTTCTCTCTTCTCTCTCGCACTCCACCTCCAACGGCTCCCGCCCCAGGTGACATCATGGAGAATTCTGGACGGCTTCCCACTGACGAGTTGAGGGATCGAACATAGGCGTGGTATCAACTGTAATAAGAATAGCTTGAAGATGGGTATCCAGTATACGAAAAAGTCATAAAAGGAGGAAATTCACAGTATCCTTTCTGAAAAAAAAAGCTAACTCGTTCAGCATTTTTAGGTCAAACCATCCACGACTGTGGATCCATCGCTGGGTGAGACACAAAAATACAAAATGTCCGTGCCAGGTCCAGGACATTCTGAACAGGTGAGCGCTTTTTTCAACGCGATATGCCTTGGAAAGAACAGTCCTCCATTTCCCGTTAGAACCACGTAGCCTTTCATTCCTAAAGCGTAAAAACTTCAGCCTGAACCTAGCAGGGGAGAGACCTTGGAACATTGAAAACGACTGCTTACCCACTATGGATTCTACCTCGGCATGGGGTTAAACCCTTGATGAAAAATTAAGGGTCATGGTAACCTTGATGCCACATGACATGTTGCTGCTGCCCCACCGGAGATACACTGGTTTACGGAAATCACTGCTGAGTATACGCCTTTGAGGATGGAGGGTTTTGTTTTCGAGGTATTCCTCAAGCCATGCTTAGCCCTGTCGAAACCCATTTCAATCTGTTTCGTTTTGTAAAAGGCCTTTTCTGTCTGCAGTCAGCTAAATGCGCCCAGCCTGGAATAGTATTCCAACCTATACCTAATTTTTCAGGCACCGTGCCTACCCTATAACCACTGAACACTCTCACGTTCATTCCCCTCCCCGTTTGACAGCATAACCTGCAATCTAACCGATGTCAAAGGATGTCATATTGAATGTTTATACCTTGCAATTTCAGGAGCACGAGCTGCATAAGAGCCTGCTTCGTGATGACGATGATTTAGACTCAGAAATTGAGGGTGCTTTGGATTCAGGTGACGTTGCTCAATCGATTCCTTTGGCAGGCACTAATGGTAGCCTTCATTATGCACATTCAGTTTTTATGATTATTTGGCATTAGGTCTGACTGATAAAGGTGGAAATAAAACAGGAAATGCGTACATCAGGGTCTGCTGTCCGTTGGGGAACCCCCAGCAAAGATGAAGGGGGAAGGGAGCATCGCAATTCCAAGAAGAAGGATCATATCATAAAATGCCACACTTTGTATTGGAAAAGGTGTGGGAAAGAAAATTTTCTGGGAAAAGAAATTTTTCGAGAAACAAAGACACTTTGAAACAAGAGAATTTAGGTATAACCGAAGGTACCCACACCTGCTATAGAACTAAAAAAGTGTGGGAAAGGGTCACAAGTTGATACTAGGCATCGCACTACCCTCGAAGTTTGTCCAGCGCAAGAGTTGACCCAAGTACGAACGATTCGGTGCGGGACAAAAATTTCTCTGAACCAATTCAAGACATTTGTGGGGGGGGGGAAGAATAGATGATTAGCTTATTATCACGGCTACCATCGGCTACAGTGTCTGTTCGTATGTGGGCCCTAACGCCTTTTTATACGGCAACCAGGCTTCAAGCACCTTTGAGTGAAGAAAAGACTTTCTGCATTGCTATTCTCACCCAACCTCGATTTCAGTTCAGTTCGAGAAACCGGCGCCACCTTCAGCTTTCGCCAGGCACGTTCAGGTACGACTGCTAATGAATTGCAAATTTCTTTACTCCCAGTGTTGGATTAGCTCTTGCAAAAGTTTCTGTCGTTTTTCAACCCCGGAATTACAAATGCAGTTATCTTTGGTTTCAACCAAACCTTTCAAGCTGGATAAGCAAATGAGAAGCCTCGGAATGCGCAGACCTTGTACTATAAGGGCTTCTCCGGTGGGTCCGTGTTCAGAATGCTGGAGCTCTGAGGCGATGAACTGAGGGAAGGTCGTTTTAGCATCATTGGGTTTTGATGCATTTCTCTTCAAGGAAGCTATCGAGATCGTCGAAAAAGTGACAGTTGATAGACCAGAGGTCTACTGAGTAAGATGTTCGCAGCATCACTCTGTAGCCTAGCTGGTTCAACTTGCTCAGGGTTGGCTGTGCGATTTACGCTCAAAACACCTCAGTGATGGGCCCGTCCCATGAAAAAGAGGAATGCTTGGCTCACCTTTTGGAGTTTTTGGTGAATTTTGACGTAATGTTGAAATGTTGACGTAATGTTGAAAGTGCTTCCCCACTGTAACAGTTCCACCTGATACGAGAGAACGGCCAGCCGCTGACCTTGCGAAAGTTGCCATAACCCTCCTTCAGCACAGTTTAAGTTTTGCAAAGTTTGTAGAGCTTCATCGCCGTCGATCTATTCAGCAAAGCTTCGTGGACTGTAGAGAAGAATCCGCTCTTCATTGTACGTCGCAAATCTGTAGAAAAACGAGTCGCTTTCATCACATAAAACAAGCTACAATTTGATGGACGACCCTTCAATTGGTGATTTGTCGCGGCACGCCCCTATCAAATTTTTTGGACTTTCCAGCTACTTCCGTATAGCTTGGCTCCACAAACCATATACGCCCAGGTTGGGCAGAACCTCCTCTATGGTCCTACGCACGAGTGCTTCAATCAGAACTTTTGGCTAATCGGAGACACCGTCCGATATCCGACCACTACTCTCATCATATTCAAGGCTCTCGCCTTCGTTACAATAAATTTTTTAACTACTGCTTCTGAGCACATTTATTGCCAATTCAAGCCAAGTGCATCGTTAATATCTTGATTTGCTTCCTTTCCTTCCAGGCTTATTTTGAGCTGGGAAAAGAAAATCACACACCTGCATTGCTCGACCTGCTCATGCCGTATTCAAGGCTTTATGAAAAATTTATGAGAAAATGATTTTACCCAAAATTAACGTAAGCCTTAGGTGGAGCAAGAGAGGCTCTTCAATGGTGGTATTTAGAGCGGCGGCTATTCGCTTAGAATTGGGAGAAAATAAAACATTCAAAAGTGAAGGTTCACAAAACGACAGAACTTTTCGAAAGGCCTAATAGTTTCTGGATAGAAAGCTTATGCTCGAAGAAAATGTGCCATCAACAAGAAATAGTCTAATAAATGTTGTGCCTTTTGTAGGACCCCGATCATGCGGCTCTGCGACGAGAGTACAGCAATTCGACCGCTCAACGTCCTCGTCCGACCACCCCCACACAGTCGTGCACTTTGGAGAGATTCGCTTTCAATGCTCCTTTTGAAGGCATGTTTTTCATCTGAAGCTGAGATTTCCACGTCCAGCGCATCAGCAGCTTCACGCGTTGAGTTGTTTTGCTTGCCAACGCCTCTTGTCAGCAAATCAACGCCGTAATTCCACTTCGCTTCACAACAAAAGCACAAAGAAGCATCATCGAGCTATCCTAAAAAGAGTTTCGCATTCACTCACACTGAAGAATGGACCATACACAGCCCCACAGACGCCCATTGAGATTACTTGAAAATTAACTTGAAAGGGGGGGGGGGGGGGGGGAATGATTGTGGCGAGAAAAATAGCATCCTGTCCAAACCACCGGCTACTTACCTATGGCTACTACTATTACCATAGTATTCGCGCAAGCCAAAAAATCGCCCATCAGCACGAACTCAGCCTCGCTCTGTCACCACCCCACATCGCCCCCCACTGCCCCCTTATTCCATCATCCACCAAGGGGTTCCCTCAACATTCGGCTTCACATAATTACGCGCACAATTTCCTTTCTGAAATGACTTATTATCAAATATTGCAAGAAGGCTCAAGCTCTACAAATTCTTCTTTGACAGCCGCGCTAAAATCATTCTATGAGCCTAAATGAACCCTGCTAATAACTTGTTTCAACTGAACGTCCCTGCGTCTTGCCTGTCTCCATGCTCTCTTCCGTTCTAATATCTGCTTTCTTCATCGGCCCGGTGAATCTTTGCTGTAAGCTCGTCTGTGTCAAAATGAACTGCTTAAAAGAAAACTTTCGAAATTTTTCTTTAGTTTCTCTTGCTTTTCAAGCTGCTGGATCCTGTAATTTCATTGCTTGTACCAACTCTCACATTTGGCCATCCTAGAATGCGTTTTTGATCTGCTGCGTAGGCCAGTGGTGCGATCGGATCTAAGTGCGTCCGATGAAGTGATGCGTTGGCAGGTGCTGGTAGGAAGTAAGTCGACCCCAGCACCCCACATACAACTTACTAATGTGCAGGACATACCACCCTAAAACATGAACGCACCCGCACGACTTCGGTCGATCAATAAAATAACTCAACATTGGAAAACCGCCGATGAAAAGCACGGCTCTCACGCCCACCACGATCTGTAACTGAGAATTTGAGAGCTTATTCAATATGGTAAATATTACACACATTAATAGCTTTTTCTTGGGTCAAGGCATGACTGATCTCAAGTCACATACTTCTAGAATGAGTTTCATTCGAGTAGGCGAAGCCAGATACTATTCGTGTAAGCCCCTTAGATTAGAAGCCACTCCCAAAATGATCAGGCCCACTTCCGCAATTTTCAGGGTCCGCTGGCATAAAACGCTAAGCCTCATTAATTTCTTTCATTGACCTCCTGGCAATTTGCCTCGATCAGCGTAGACGGGCAAAGTGGCCTAAAGCAAAACAAGCATTCGCAACATAGGATCAGGCTTTGCTCGTAGTAGCATTTTGAGCGTGGTCTGACCCATACGTTGACTTGCTGTGGCAGGATGTGTGCAAATCAGGCAGTGATCTCGTCCACCTATACATATGTTTGCCAATTCACCGATCTTCGGAGGGACGGGGGATGGAAGGTTGGCTGGCCCGGATGGCGTACATCCTGGAATATTATTCCCGAAACAAGCGCGTGGTAAATAGCACCACTGCCACTGCACTACTTCCGCCACGTGAATACTGACAAGCTAGGGTAAATACTCTAATGAAAACCGAGTTAGGGTGAAATGATGCCTCGGTAGCTTTTCGATAGCGCAACACAGTAGCTTGGTGAGCAAAAGTTGTGGCCTCGAATGCCGCCTGTGGTAGCGTTCTCCTATAACTGAGCATCCTTGTGATACGTTTGTTCATGGTCGAAGACTTCTCACGAATTCAATTCCAGACACAATCGAGGTGAAAGAGGAGAAGAAAATCAAAGTCTCCATCCCCGCGAAGGAACGAGCAGGTACGCCCCTCTTCGGCACCTTCTTGACGTCATCACATGCAAAAGCGGCGTTTTTCAGCGTCACGACGAAGGAAATCTGATATGCCGTATTCGGATTTCTATGAAAGCATTTCCTCGCAAATTCCACCGCAGGTTCGTTTGGCATCTTCAGGATTTCTTCCCTTAGCAGGACTGTCAATATTTTACCTTATCTCGTATTCTCATCGCCTCAGGCTCTCCCATTGCTCGGTCGTTAGCGATTCTAAACCGCCTCCGAGCGGGCATTTTGAGTCATTCATGAATCCATGAGCAACGGCACGTAAATATTGCTTGAAAATGACGTGTACCTCATTTTTCAGTCTCGAGGGTGCGTATCCGGGCGAACAACACCGTTGAACGATTACGAGGGCGATATTCTCGAGGAAAATCCGCAGTATAAGAACAAGGTTCGTTTATTTTTCGATATGTAATATGTGAAAGTTAGAAAGTAAAGTAAGTCTGTAATAGCTTGTATTCAATAGTTGAAAAAGGCTTTTTCCAGGCACCGCCACATCCAGTCGTCCACAGAAGGACAAGTATCGAATGGGAGAATTTTGAAGAGGCAAAAGGTACGAGGTCTTAAGCGAAACTGACAGGGCTCTCCAACAGCCAACATAATTCTGAGAAATTGAACGCCTCTGGGCTTCGCAACGGGATTAAAGTCCCGAATTTGCTAAGAGATTTGAGCCCTAGTCACGTTACGTGACTGTTTCTCAATGCCGTTCACCGGCTGTCTGCTGGGAAACATTTCCTTCTCAAAAAATTCTACGAGCTGATTCTATTCAGATTTTTTCTCGTGTTCTCGATTCTACGATTTAGTTTATAACTGGCGCGCCACTGAACACATAAACAAATAAGCAAGTAAACAAATAAATAACCAACAAACGAAAAATAAATAGCCGGTCCTGTCCCGAGCAATTGAAGGAATAGCAAAGAAGAAGTAATGATTGCTAACCACTGATATATCCAACCTGAATTGAAATAAAGTTGAATAAATGAATAATGCTAATAACAGTAAGTTTCTCTGATCACTGTGCAGGCCATCATCGCTAAGGCTGTGTTTCTTGAAATCACGGTGCACGCGCCATTCATCAAAAAGGCTATGTTTCAGTACAATATAGAGTTTCAAGGGATTTGCGATTAGTGAAAAGGCTGTCCTAATCAAGCCTTACAAAAGTATTATCCGTTCATCGCGGTAATGTGGTTACAGGCGGTCTTCGCCTCATTAAGAAAAAGGGGCAACATTCCCTTTACTACCACTCCTCATGAGTGAGCAGATTTTGAGGCGAATTCGGATCCATGCCTCAGGATTCGGTTGAGTTGGTGGTTAGGGGGTATTTCGCCGAGAACACGACTATCACATCGGTTTGGCGCGACAACGATCGGCGCACGCCACAGGCGCCTATCACAACAGTTTTGCGCGGGCGCCCGTAGCGCAGGCTACAGGCTCACTCGCAACGAACTAATGTGATATTCATGTTCTACGGGTCAAAGTACCTCTGAAGACAAGTTTCCAGCGAAATTTGGTGATCCGAGATGTTCTGGCGCCTTTTGGCGCGAGCAGCAGGCATTCTAGCGGTAAGAGGTGTTTATATTCACGACTTAGCAGGAGGATTACGTACTGAGGGAGTTTTAATCGATCACAGTATGCAATTTCGATTAGAAAACGGCTCAGTCTCGAGGAGGTGGGCGTGAAGTGGGAGATAGAAGGATAGTCCAGTTACTGAGAATACCCCAAGGAGAAATTTCTCGAAAACTATTTATTAGAGCGGTTGATGCTCTTACGCTCGTGGAATGTGCCTACGAATTCCAGAATAGAGTTTCAATTGCTTGGTTTATTTCTCGTAGGAAATTATGGGAGATTGTATGGTGCTGATAAGTTGTTATCCCGGTATTTGCTTGAGTTGAGCAGCGAATGTTGGTCAAGGCAATCTTGAAGCAGGGAGGCCTTGGAGAAATATTCATGTGAACGCAAGAACTAACGTGAGGTCATAGCTTAACCGGTCGGGGCAGGGGGGTCTTGCTTCTCGGTGAAATCTATGTGGCGCTCATCACACCCACTTTTGTGATGGGTCAAACGCCTGAGAATGTGTTGAGCAGGACAGGTTATACAGTGAATGGGAGGGGCGGGGGCAATAAAAAAGGACACTTTGCTTCAGCTAATAGGTTAAAGTCACCCTTTGCAGTCAGAAGCGTATGCTCTATACATTAGAAGAATTGAAAGCGCATTTCATTTCATAAGAAAATCTTCATAGTGGCCATCTACGTGGACGGCATCAGAAAAGTTTGCCCCGGAAACATGGTGCTCTGGTCGAGCTCAATGGGGTTCTCGACTGATCGTGTACCGTTACGACGGGTTCCGAAGGGCGGGTTCCGAGGGGGCATAGTTAGAGCTAATGTCCCTAGGAAACTATCCCACGTTGAATCGATCCAAGAAATTATGTAAGAGCTTCAGGCTGAAGCAGTTACTGTAGGCCTCCCTGAGCTCGACGACGGTGACAGATGACGTCATATTCTGAAGACGGTGACGGTGAGGGAGTAGTGAAGGAGGGCCTGCGTGTACTATGGAGGGACATTTAGGGAATATTTTGAGAGGAACTTCCTTCAACGAGGCAATCTCTGCGAAGAAAAAAGGGCCGAAGTGCGACTTGGGCAAAATGTCTTTTTTGCCCCCCCCTCCCCCCTGTATAGGGAAGATTGTTGTACTGCATGGTAGATTACGTTGTTTTCCACTTTCCTATATGCTTCTTCAAAATAATAAATTAATAAGTAGTAACATGAATGACATACGAGCAAGTATATACGGATGATGGGCCATTAAGTAAATGAAGTCAAACATACATATCGTAAGGGATAAGTCCTAATGTGATTTTGGAAATTGTCCAAGATTCAGGTTTCATGAAGAGCGCTATGCACTCAACAGTAGGTAAAATCGATAGCGAATTTGGCCTCAGCGTTTCTCTTCGTTTTCAATGTGAACACATTTTTCATGGCGTTCTTCATTGCCGGCTCTTCTGCTGTTCATTACTGGGAGGATTAATCTTTTTTGAAGCAATGGGTGCGTCTATACGATTTCGTTGCTCAGCTGATTACCAGTCTGTACGTATAATCAGAACGGTTGTCGCGGCGTTTGATTCTTATGGAGGGCATATTATCGCTGAACTTGGAGGGCTGCAAAAGTCCTCTTTTCATGATGAAGTCAAATTGGGCGCTCGAAGTGCGCCAATCCTCCAATGGTCCAATGTGGCCTTTAATCCCACATAATTTATTGTCCCATATTGGCCATCTCTTTGGGGTGATTATAATAACAGCTCTACCTCACTTAGGGGGACCAGCAAGCTTCTGCAAACTGGGGAAATACCCACATCGGCAATGGGTTTCATCAAATAAATTCACACAACCATTTCAAACTTGGAAAAGTTCCTTTTGCTGGATGGCCTCAGTGTCGAACAAAGTTTGAATGTCTAGCCTGTCCGTTCGGTCCTTTCTATAAGGGACGTAAAAATCATTTTCTCCTTTTCTGCCAGCGTTGTTAACGACGACCTAACCAGGAAGGTCTTTCAGGGCGTGACAGCTTTTTGAAAACGGTCTTTTGCATGATATAGGGGCAGATGCGGGAACCACAGAACCATGTTCAATTTTTCCTGAACGGCCCTCTGAATACCAGAAAAGGAGGTCCCTAGTTCGATTCCTCGTGGTAACAAATTTTTGCATTTCGAGTTGACGTGCCAAAATTCGCGCAAAATGGAGTTAGAACCAACCAGAACAATCAGAACTCCATTTTGCGCGAATTTTGGAACGTCAACTCGAAATGCAAAAATTTGTCACCAAGAGGAATCGAACTAGGGACCCCCTTTTCTGGTATTCAGAGGGCCGTTCAGGAAAAATTAAACATGGTTCTGTGGTCCCCGCATCTGCCCCTATATCATGCAAAAGACCGTTTTCAAAAAGCTCGTCACGCCCTGAAAGACCTTCCTGGTTAGGTTCTTCGTTAAACGAAAGCTGCCTAGAAAAGGAGAAATGATTTTTACGTCCTATTAGGAGGACTCGAACGGGCAGAACGCTAAAATTTCAACTTTGTTCGCATTTCTCTAGATTCTAGAAAAATCAATTTAGAGGTATTTAGCTTCATGGTTTATTGGCGAGGGCAAGAATTTATTGGTTACACGGTGGGCGTACTGGCACAAAACTTTCTTCTCGAATTCTCTGCAGTTCGTATCCTTTTTTTGGTAGTATTACAGGAGACGTCTTCTTACTACCGAAACAAAATCTCAGCTTCAACAATGAAACAGCCAATCACGGTATGCCATTCCTCAGATTTTACCGGCAAGGGACTCTGGCACGCCATTTAGCTACAGTTCAATATAACAAGACTTTTATGGATAGTGGCTAAGCGCTTCAATAAGAGATGCGCTCAACCTGAGATGGAAAAGAAGGAGATTTGATCACACTGTACCATCAGGACTAAATAAGATGCAGAATCCTTCCCGCTCGCGAACTTTCATACAACCATTCAAAAGATTTGATGTAAAAGAATAGTCGATACACTCTAAATTTACATATCTATTAAGACTGAGCATAGAGAGCTTACCCAGGGGCACCATTCTAGACAAATCCTCCAGAGGGGAACGTTTTCGTGTGTCGGTTTCCTAACAACTGTTTGCAAAATTTCCCACCGGATTCAGTTGGGTCTTTCTGATTGAGTAAACCTCGAAAGCAGCAGCAACCAAACATCTAAAAAGACTCTCAAAGCAAGAGCAAACACAAAACTCTAAAAAGGTCCCAATCCCCTGGAAAGGGCACAAAAAACTTGTGGTCGTTTGGCTTGTCTCACCAGCATGCCACCCTCTTCCTGTGAAGGCTGGTAAATGAAATAGGTTACAGATTTCAAACCTAACCTAGATTTGCTTTGTGATCCTAATGGCCAGCACTTTTTTGTAGTCGATTTGCATCATTAGGATGATGTTATAGTTTAGTAATATAATATTTCGATTACCACAATTTTGGCCCAGCCACCCCACACTGGCACATTCCATGGGTTTCTTGAGAAAGTGCTTGTAAAAAAAATAAAAATAAAAACAAAGATCTCGCCAATGCATTTATAGGCTCAGTAATTTGAAATGAAGCAAATTTGACTACCAAATATAATAACATCAACACATTCATTAACAAATAGAGTTAGTTGTTCAAAAGGTAATTTTTGAAGTTGTTCCGCAATTTCAAGTTTCTTCGAGTGAATTTTGACGAAATTGATCCCAGAAGGGTGCGCCATTTTTCAAGCCTACCGGCTTTTTCCATCTATTATATATTTCATTGTAATTCTCCCAGAATACTCTTGTCTTTCCCCAAAAGCTTCGATTTCAGCCTCATCTGAAGGGACAGTTCCCATGGAACCCGTAGCGAGGGCAGCCGAGGAGTCTGTGACGGCGAAGGTGAGTGATTTATGGGAATTTTGCTTCGAAACCCGTTTATCCTTTTCAATTTCAGAAACCCAAAGTGAGCGAAGTGAAATTCGAACCACAGGTGAGTATCTTGGCAGGACCTTGGCAAAACACGCCCGATGCTATTCCACTAATTGTGTCTACGCTGCTGCAGCTCGAGTTGTTCGCTAGCCTAGCAGCAATGATAAATCGGCTATGCTGGCACGATGCAAATTATTTCCTTCACGTGTTACTATTGATTTCTGCTAGTCAGGGTGGATGTCTAAACTATGCCTCTCCCCCGCGCGCAACTCTTCTGAACCTCTTCAGCTGATGGTTGTTGTTATCCTCTGGGCTTAGGCTAATAGTCGTTAGTAGTAGGTGTTTTCTAGAAGAACCTGGATTCGGTGAGGACAAATAGGCGGAGGCAATGAAGTCCCTAGCGCGATTTCCATGTTCCTCGCGCCTTTTACGGCTCCCCACGGACGATGGGCACATTAGCCTCACTGCCATTATTCGGATGCCCTCAGGCGGCGTTCCCCACATTCACCCCATAAAGCTCGTTCTATACATATTTTCAGTCATGCTCTGTATACATTACTTACATTTCACTGAGTAAATCAGCGAAATATGTGTGTAAGTGTGCTCTGTAACCACTAGGCTT